ATGAGGCCAAGCAGCGGCTGCCTGTACCTCAAGATCATGCCTGACCTGCCCTCGCCTGTTCAGGTGTTTGTAGAAGCGACCCGCTCAGGTCATACATGCGCGCGGAATCTCTCAAGCTGGAATTAAGAAAGGCTGCGCGGCATCATTTGCTAGGTAATGTCAGCTTCGGATTATTAAAGGGGGTCGGATTAGAGTTAAATCGGGCCTGAGCGGAATAAGTCTGAACGGATTAATAACAATACAGGAATGGAATAATAATTCCATGCTCGCTTCTGGAAACGCCCAAACAGAGAATAAGCAACCGACCCCCTAATCAAGTATCTGCAAAAGAAGAATAAGATCTAAGTTGCAGATAATCACATGCTAAAACTTGGGCCTATGGATCTCAAACTTAATTGGTGTATTTTGGCCAGAAACCAATTCGATTCCGATTCTCAGGTTTTGAGCACGCCAGAAACTATCGATTGCTTATAAGGCCGCTTATTCGAACAGCCCAGGCAATCATTTCTGCTAAGGGGTACTATACCGAGACCGCCGGAACGGAATCATGACCATTAAAACGGGTACGGAATAATCGTGGCTCCGGCTGGCATGGACCCCAGGATCTGAAAACAAGGTTACTATTTTTAATTGCAGGTATAACATCCCAAGCCTTAGGCCTGGAGATCTGAGTCCTAGAGCCCTTTGGCCAGAAAGCACTTCCGCTTACATATTTTCCATGCCAATTCAAATTGAATCACAATTCCTGTAAAATCGATTGGAATCTGATTGAATTCCTTTTTAACTCAATTGAAATCGAATTCGAATCTCTTTAAAATCGATTGGCAACGAATGAAAATCCATTTCAAATCAACTGAAATTTGATTAGAGTTCTTAGTGTGGGTTTTAATATTAGTGGGACGGGATTAATTCATATTATCTTAATTGCAAGTATATCCCAAGCCTGAGGGCTTAGGGCGTAGGGTTTAGGGTTTATGGGTTCTTCTGGGATCCCCCCAAACAAGTTTTCCCGTAATTGATTGGGGCCCCCCCGGATTATTTCAATAACGTACTTGTTAGGGGGGGGGGGGCTTTGTAATCAGAACCCGCCATTATGGAAGGTCTGCATCTCACAAGGAGAAATGACCCGATGGCCAGGTTGGAGTCAGAAATCCCATCCGCTGTGTTGGGCGAGGCCTGCTATCTGGTGCTAGCACTACAGGCACTGCAGTTCCGAGATGTAGTCACAGTGTAGTAGGTGGATAGATCCATGCAGGCAGCGATGGTGACCTGGGCACCTGCTTTAAGGTTGCTGGATACCAAGATTATTGAATTTACCATTGCCTAGTACATGCCATCTTCTCACACTGATTGTCAGCAACCAGGTGGTGGATGACGGTCAGCCTATTGCCGATGAGGACTTCAAAACCTGGAGGCCCAGCAGCACAAGCAGCATTGAAAATGCAGGTGACTGTTCCCTCGGATTTGTTCCAGCTGGACGTGGAAGAGCGGCACAGGCAACGAATGACAATTTCAATCCGCAACAGGATGCAAGCTTAGACATGCTAGAGGGGTCACTTGTGGATTCTCAAGCGGGTCGCTTGTGACTCTGAAATTTATCGTGGGAACATCAGACCGCCACCGAACCTTAGAATTAATGTTCCAATTCCGAAGCTCCAAGCCTAAGCCCTGAAAGACCTCAACTTTGGCCCAACCCTGGAAACCTCAAGGTGAGCACATCCCAGGTCCCAGCTCAGGCCACTTCTGAGTAAAAATGTTAATGCAACTCTTTTCTGGGAAAATGGGCTCCAGTTGGCCCAGATGATTCTCCAGTATCAGGACCCTACACCCTAAACGCAGCAACACTGAACCCCAAACTTTACATGGTGCACGTCAAGCCCTGGGCCCTCGACCCTAAATCCTAATTACACCCGTATAGTAACATAGTACAGCTGGGCTCCCGTTGCGACTGCAATCGTACAGCTGAGCTGCAAGTTTGGGGCTCAATGTCTCGGACTGCAGACACCGCGGTTCCTGTATTTCGGGAAAACCTTTGTGGGTTCTGTTGCATTGCCACTGTCAAGGCTGAGCGCAAACGGCCGCAAGATTCTGAAGCATGCTGATTTACATGTGAGGCTCCTTCTGGACGTTCGGATGGCGCGGCTGTTTCTCTGGCAGCCTGGTTGTGCGCACACTGACTTACATGCGCTGTCCATATCTGTCCATTCTGGACCTGTGGATAGCTCGGCTGACTGTTGTCTGACTGCATGTTGTCAGCTCTGGAACTTGCTTGCTAGTGTGTTGTGAAGGTGAATTTGTGACTGTGATTGCGCAAAGTGCTTTGCAGGGATTGGTCGTTTGTGCCGTGACCTTCGGTTAAGCTCAGGTGCCAAAATCTTTTGTGCAGAAGTAGTGTTGGCCTTCTAGTTCGTGGTTGATTCGGCAAATGGATGCTGTTTGGGCCCTCTTGATTATTACTTGGAATTGGGCATCGACGTTTGGGGGTGGTCCCATGTTGGGCGGAGCACTCCTGGTGTTGGTGATGTTGTACATACGCGGCGCTTGTAACCACGTCCCGGCTGTTGAGTGATCGGCCTGCGAAGATGCTGTCCACGGGCCTGGCGTCAATATGTGTGTATGTCAGGCTGTTGTTGGAGGGGGCATCTTCTGACCACACTTCTGACCTGTCGTACTTCTCGGATCCTGCCTCGCGCTGCGACGTCCATGCAAGTGGCAAAATTAAACCCCCACCGTAACAACTATCACCCTGAAAGCGCTAATCTGTCAACAGTAATCTCGATAGATCCTAAGCGAAAACCCTCACGTTGTGCCCTAACAGCCACTCGCCAGACACTGTTAACCGTGCACAAGGAACCCTAAACCAATTTATCCTGCACCTACAATCTTCACCGTAACTGCGATAACTACCCTCAATCCTATCCCTAAAGCCCTTATCCATCAACCCTAGCCATAAACCCTGAACCTACGAGAAAAAGAACAAAGCTAGACCGTGCGCGGGCCCTCCACCGTAAACGCTAAACCATGCTAAACCCTCAGGCGAGAGGAAAAAACCCGAGGTGCCACTTCCAGTTGTGATCCTGAACCCATACCTAGAAATTTCAGAAGTGACTTCGGGTGCTCTTCATGGGGCGTTTAGCAATTCGCGTGGTGGAGAAGTCACGGGTGACCCCAGTTGAAGTCACCAGTGTCCACCCCCCTCCCTTAGACATGCGCATGGCGGCAGCATGCGGTAGCCATGTAGGCTGCTGGACCAGATGCTGGAGTCCATTCTGGGTCAGGACGGCTTCAAGTTTCAGACGGCATCTCAGTTGTGTGCGTTGAGTCATTGAGACTGCAAGAGCTGACCTGCCCCCCACGAGGCCAAACACAATGGAACTGCAGCTGGGGTCTGCCATTGCTGTCTCCAGAGTTGCAGATTTGCTCAAGGCATCAGCCATCGAATGTGAGTCGTGTTGCCACAGTCGAGCTAGGTCTACGTACAAACCTTGTCCACGCGCGTCGCATTTGTATACTGCTGGCTGCGGCATGACATCATTGGTGATTGAATTCAGTGTGACCTTCACAAGAGCTTTTGAAGTGCAGCTCTGCAAATAGAAGTGGGTGAAGGGGCCCCTACTGGCAATGATGGTCAATTCATTGAAGACATCCTTACAGCAGTGGCATTCACAAGAACCTCTGTCTGGAAGGCTTTTCCGGACATTGCTGCATCTCGTTCGCAGCTGCTGGTGTAGCTGTTGCTGTGCCAAATCCCTTGCCCATCGTACCATAGGCTTGGACTGCTGCCTTGAGGTTGAGTGCGTTGGTCATGCAAAAGGACTCGCGGAGGATAACAGCAGCGCCAGAGTTCGACTATCGCAGGCTCGTGCCAACTTGCTGTTGGGCTGAGCACTACTCACTGAAAGCCAACCAACAAGGACCGCGCAGGAGTGGTCCAGCAGGCATTGCACTCTGAAGGGGTTCGGGTCTTGAAACGGAAAGGAGGTGTCGCGCCAGTGCGCGCATGCCTTGCGCCTGTGCATGTTTGACTTAGGTTCCCAACGTGATTACTTGCGCGGGGGTTGGCTCCTCCTTGGGCTTGGGAACAAAAGTTCGAGCCTTCAGAGGTCTTGGCACGACTACATGTGAGGAGACTCCTCGGAGATGCATCAGCCATCACCCAAGGTCCAGCTGCGGCTACTGCCCCCGAGCTGAGCACTGCAGGAAAAGCTCATTCTGCACATGATGTGAACCACTTTGCTTTGCAAAGTAAAGGTGATAGATGCCCCTTCATGCCGCAGCTTGCTTTGGCTCTGAGTGCTCACGGCCGCGGCTGAGCAACATGGCCCCAGGCATCAGCTTGGCCGCCACTTTGCAGAAGTTTGCCCCGCGGCCGACTGCCCTTCTGGAACAGGCGCATCTGACTTGCGCGAGCAGCTGGCAAGGGCTGAGGTGGACCAAAAGGTGGCATATGTGAGTTGTGCACACACGCGACGGTGGGCAGAAGAAGCTGCGTGTGCCTCCAGGAGAAGCTTCAAATCCTCTGCGGCCAGCAGGATTACATAAAGATGTGCTCCTTGTGCTAGCGGAGCCTTGCTGTGCTGTCACAGTCGCGTAAGCACCTGGTCTGAAGGAGGAACGAGCAAAGGCTTTGACCCCAGCCTGGGCAGAGATGAGCACGGTGCATGTACAGCGTTATATTGTTTTCTGAGGCACTCGAGGCACTGAACAGCCGAAAGGAGGACAACGCCTTGCAGTGCAGATCACTGCTCCCTGAGCTCAGACATGCAGCCTGTGCATGTTTGATCAAGCAGCAAGCTTCACGAAGTGAGTGCTCGGCACGGGGTTCACACCAACAACATACACGCAGTGCCATGCAGATTCCTTTAGTCATGACTCTCTGCCTTGTTGGCACCGACAAGTCAAGTCACAAGACATCTGCAGCAAAGCAAAGTGTTCTTGTTGAGCAATGTTGAGATCGGGCGCAGCAAAGACCCCGCGATGAACAACCCTTTTGGTGGGTCATGGAGTTGGTGCAGCTGTTCAACAAATTCCAGCCTCCCGTCCTTTCAGTTCGGTAGTGGGAGCCGCCACATCTGCTGAAGTGCCCTGTGGCCAAGGTGCTGGTCATGCCAGTGTGGAGACATGGACGATCCAGTGGAGCAGAAGGTCACGAAAGCAAATGCCTCCAGTGACATGTCAAGGCCTTGAGCCCCATGGGCCATGGACAGGTTTCGGTGACGGCCATGGAGTTCCGCTTCCAGCACTTCCCAGGCGCCAAAGAACGCAGCAAGCTGGGCTGCAATGGTTTTGCCATGTTTTGCCCATGCTCGCTTGAGTTGACGGTCTTAGAGCTGAGGGGACAGCGAGAGCTCCCTGGGGGCAAGTGAGCTCGCTTCGGAGACCGGCAAATCAAAGCTGAGCCCACGAGAGCACCAGCGGCATGAGCTGAAGCAGCTGCTCGATGGCTTCAGCTCCAGATCTCTAACCTTTACTGTCACGTTGCGACCGCAGGGATGAGCCTGTCCCACTTGACCCCTTCGACCCACTGGCTCCACTTGCCGGTGGGTAAGGGGGTCAAGTCGGGCAAGTGGGGGTCATGGAGCAAGCACGGCATGTGGGTACTCGGGTGAAGTGGGGCAAGTGGGTCCGTGGGTGCAGCGGGGCGAGTGGGTCAAGTCTTATGATGCAAGTGGGTCAAGTGGGGAAAGTGAGGCGAATGGCTGCAGACCGTTAATCCCCCCCAACGCCGGCACTCTCTAATGTCAGGCATTGGCATGGTCAAATTGCGAACCCGCCCTATGAAGGCTCATGAGACGATTTGCAACTCGTGGCATGGACTCTGTTTCGATTCAATTGTTCGACGAGCCACTCAATGGCAAGAAGGTAGTGACAGACATGTAGCCTGGCGGGTAGCCTGGTACATCGTTGCGAGTCAAGTCTTCCATTTCTGCATTCAAGGTTGTCTGGTGCGACCTCCCAGGGCACGTACCAGGTTGATGATCTGTTGGAATCCATCCGCTTTATGCCGGAGGAGCTTGCTCTTGACTTGAGACGTCCCTGTCGAAAGACCAAACATGCGTGCATCCTGCCATGATCTTGCCTTTTTTGGTTGCATACAAAAGCAGTGCAGAGAGGACACAGCTGACAGCTCGCCGTATGCCGGACCAGAACACAGTGTCAACATTGGGCAGGTGCGTCAACCGTAGAATCCCAGCATTCGCGGCTGCCATTTTCTTATACTTCGGGGCGCTGGAGGTCGTTGCTGTGGCTTCGGGCGCGGAGTGCGCCGCCTACGTGGAGTCAGGTGCAAGGGAGCTGACAGTCAACTGAAGGGCTCATGTCAAGGTGCATCAAGAGTCGATGTCATCTGTTGTTGGGTCGAGGTGCCTGGGGTCAGCTGACCGCAGCGGATCAAGCTCGCTTGCTGGTGCTTGTGCCTGGGTGGCAGCAACACGTCACATGCCGCTTTGGGAGTGCGCAAGTGACACAACGGTAACTCAGGTTTACCACACCCAGCCCCATGGGAGCCTGCCATCGGTGGACTGCCGCAAGGTTTGTTTCATGGATCCTGGACAGCAGTTTGGACTAGAGACGTTGACGAATAAAGGCGCCGCAGGTCATGTCATCTAGTCGACTGGAGCTTTGAGCTTCACAAGCTTGAGGAAGATGATGAAGCCAGCGGCCAGATGTTTGCAATTTGCGTAAGGACTCTGTGAATGCCTTGCTTCATGCATACACCATGACAAACAAACAGTGTCTTCGAATTGCAGCACCTTGGACCGCGGCGCAGGCAAATACTTTGCAGACAGGTTGCGCGCGGAAGAGAAATCAGAAAGAGTTTCAGCGCCTTTTCGAGGCTTGCAGCTTTGCAGGGCGGGCGGTGCGGCCACCGGGCTTGAAGCGGAGGGGAGCGATCAGCAATGAATTCGAGAGAAAAAAAAGAGTTCGCAATATGAAGAACTTTTTACGGGCGGGAGCGTTCGCGGCAGTTTTCTGCTTGTGCCCCAGACTTGGCGTGCAGCGGGGAGGCTTTGGACCAAAATATGTCCACCTGCAATGGTGAGTGACGGGTCCAGAATCAGGCAAGAGCCTGCATTGCTTCGACGGGTCAGCCTTGACCCCTCCCAAGACCTCGACCCCAAAGTGCGGCATGCTGGCATAGGGAACAATAGAATCTCCCAGGTAGCCAGCAAAGACCCTCGCTGCAAGGAAGACCTCCTGCAGCATGGTCGCTTTGATCATGCGCTTGTCTTTGCAGGTAGAATTACAAGGCGGCAAAGAGCGTTATCTTCTGCCTTGCATCCAGGCAGACTACACTCTGCAACCTTTCCATGCTGCGGCGACGCCACGGGGGGAGGTGTGAAATTGCTTGCTGTGGCAGCCGCTGACGCTCCAAAGCCCCTCCGCCGCTTTCTGTCGGGGTGGCCACAGAGTGTCGGCTGTCTCCATCTGGGCCCTTGGGCCACGCGCGTGAAAGATCTTGAAAGTATGGGTCCGGCACTGACCTTAACGACACTGCCCGCCTGCGATCCATACGAAAGAGAGATCCAGAAGACGGAGATTGCCGAGGCAGACTGGAGTACCACCAAGGGGCTCCGAACTTGCGTGGCGGCTGCTGCAAATTCAGGTACAGGGTCCTAGTTGAAATCCACAGGCCCGCCACCCAAACAACCAATTGGGCTCAGGAACCTAGCACAAGTCATATTTGGCCCCAAACTTGCGCAGTTCCGAATCCCCACGCCAATCTGGATTCAGCATTTTTGCCTTGCGCTCGCGACCTGTATGTCGTTTTTGCTTCTCTTGCTCATGCAGCGAAGCTTCAAGAAGTGGATCACTGCAGACTTACATTTTCTAGTAGAAAAACGCTTTACTACCATGGTACGTGGTCAAGGCAGTGTAGCGGGACGCCATTGGACCATTCTATGGAGCTTCTATGAAACTGGACGGGAGCTCATTTCAACGTTGTTCCTGGAATTATGCAGGATCCTTCGCCGCTACATGGAGGATGCAAGGCAAAGCCGGACTCCTCGGACCATTTGAGCGTGAAAGGGGAAAACGTGCACGGTTGCTGGTTGGGTTATTTGCCTGTGCGTCGTGCTTTGCTGTCTTTGCTGTGATGGGCACAAACATTCCAGAGATCCTTCAAGCTATTTCTTAAGCAGGCCTTGTATCTTGAGGCCCACATCTAATGTGCGAAGCAAATTCACCAGAGCGCATCCTCCTATGGCAGATGCATCATGAATGTGCTCTTCTCGTTCCTTACCAACAACATACTGTACCTTCCTATCCCACCGAGTAATTGGATCACGCTAGAATATCAGATAGCAGAGCCGAAGCCGTTGGCTTTGCAGGAGCAACTGGTGAAGTTGCGTGGCTCTCGGTTAGAACCTGCGCATGTTCCAGGTTATTCCATGTTGCATGCTCAACCTTCTCGCGCTCAGGCACAATCGTTTGGAAGAAGCTTTGGCTGTGCTACAGGCCCCAGCTTTTCGGACCTCTTGGCCTCGAAAGGGCATTGGGTGTGAGCGGTACTTGCCAGGAGGGTCAAAAGATGTATGCCACGCAGCAGCTCCTTCGGCTTCTTTGGGGTCAGGGAGTAAATCTGCACCCGTGTGCAGACTTGCATGCACGTTTGGGTCTATCTAGCACGCCAGGAAGGTGATGGATTCACAGCAAGAGCAAATCGAGCGGCTGTGCCCGGGACATTAGTCGCTAATCCGCTAGCATTCCATATGTTGTGTGGACTGAAGTATGCGGCACGCAAAGGTCGAAGCAAGCCGAGTGCCACGGACCAGCAAACTGGCCAAGAGGCTAGGCTTTGCCTCGCCAGCTCTGCAAGGGCGAGGTTTCCACATCAGCAAGACAGCTAGGCCCGACCTGCGGCGCGGAACAGAGAAGAGGATGGGTTCAGACAGTTGCGCGGCTGGCTTGCGCAGTGGAGTTCACGTGTAGAGGCTCGGCAACAGCCACCTGGGGCGCACGCGGCTGGCCAGTCACGGGCCCCTGCGCGAGCTGAGGACAGCAGATCACCTAAATCAAGCATCGAAAGCGCAATAAAGACGCAAATGTGCCTCTTTGGGGAGCGCGAGCGAGGGGTGTCTGCACATCTTCCCGGCCACCAGGATGGAGCGAACGCCCAGGCACAAGCCAAGACACAAGCGGCGCACGTCAAATCCAAGGTTGAGCCAGCAAAGGAGGACCTTAGGGGTATTAGGCAATTTCCGAATCAGAAGTGATCGGAGCAAAGCAAGGATGACTTCCCAGACGACGAGGGCAATGAGTTCCTTGGCGCAGGATCCTCAGGATGCTGATCTCTGCCTGGTGCTTGTAATACGAAAAGCCCCATTTGCATACATGGAAATCTTGTTTGTGGAGCTGCCAAGCATTGCCTGATCAGATGGACACGCGGGAAGCGGAGCAGGTGCTTGCTGCTCTACAGGCACTGGAATCGCAAGCGACCTGCATGATGTTCATCAAGACAGACCTTGTGGCTATCATCACGGACCTCATAAGCAAGCAAAGCCAAGCTGGCTTCGTTGGCCAGGCACTGCTGGCAGAGAAGGAGCAACTTCATCAACAGCTGGTGGATGAGCAGGCTGGATAGGGGCAGAATTATTTGGCCCCACCTTTTAGCTGTTGAGCAGGCTGATGCTGAACGCAGACTGCACGCACTGAGAGAGATGGGCGTGGCAGGGCGCAGCGTAGGTATGCAGCCTTGAGAGATGCATGGCCAGCTAGGCACTAAAAACCTTGTATCCCCACATGCCGGGTACTGGGAATGCAGAAGAGCTTCTATGTCTGGCCGAACACACGGAAGTCAAAATGTTTGATGTGGGTTGTTGGCCTTTCAAAACATCAAGGCTTGACGGCATGATGCAGAGATTGCTGGGTGGTGCAAGCCCCTTTGTGCCCGATGTTAAATGTGCAGCAGAGGGGAGACCTGCAGGAGAGCATTCCGCGATGCTTAGTGCTAGCAGCCCACCAATCATCATTCCAGCAGAATCTAGCAGATATATTGCCCACTTCACTGATCAGATGCATCGTGTAGAGACGAGACGTACAAGAAGCCATTGGTAAGATGTGCCGTGCGCTTCCTTGGACTGCTGTGCCATCTGTGCCTCATGGCTGGGCTTCAGACCCACCATGCCAAGGAGGCCCACGGCAGAATCACGAAATGCGAAGTGGATGCTGCGATAGACCAACTGCTTTCAAAGAAGGAACCCTCTCTTCGCTTTGGGCCTTTGCCTCGCCATCCTGGAGGCTGGCGACTGACTTGCCTCTACAACTTCTGTAGAAGTTTGAACATGTTTGAACCACTGTGGGCTAGTCTTCTGGGATACGGTGCAGTAGGTTTCTGGAAGAGCAACAAGGTCCAGGCAGTGGCGGACTGGCCCAGAGAGCCGCCGGCTTGGCCAAAATATCCGGGGCGCCAGGCCTGGTGTAGCTTTCGCTGCAAGTTCGCCTATTGCTCGGCCTAGCCCATGCCTGTTGCCAGAGAGGTCAGAGTCCTGAATGGCACTTGGGACTTTGCGTTTTTCGGTGACGTCGCTCTTAGTGCTGAGTTGCTTGCCGGGATCTTAGCTGGCGGAGTTTGTAGTAGATTTAGCACGGCACATCCGCAGCCATGCACGGCCGGTTCAGTTGTTCAGGCCGAGCCCGCTCATGTGGAGTCAGTACCCGTCCCGGATGCCTTCGACATGCGGCCGGACAAGCCTCGCTGTAATGTTTGCTGGCCCAAGTTCACAGAGGCACCTAGTGTCAGGGTCTGGGAGGTTTGGGGATTTTCGGGGTCTTACAAAGCTTCCTCCTGGAGCCCCCTTCGTAAGGGCCACACCAGACGTGATGCTCCTGGCGTTATGGTTCAGGGCGCAGGCATGGAAAATGGCGACGAAGAGCTTTGCAGCTACTGCTGCAGCCGTGCTTATGGCTGGCGGGGTAATCAGGACTGCTGGAGAACTTTGCCAGAGGCCGGGGGGATCTGCCATTTGAACTGCAGATGCTCGTCATTCAGTCATCGTTGAAAATGCCAGGCAGAGCGCGAGGGCGCGTTCGAGAAGTGTTGCAATCAGCACCCTCTGCGCCACAGACGTGGCGTAGCTAGATACCAGACCGAAGTGCAGGCCAATCAGAAAGGGGGATGGACTTGTCCAGCGTTACTTCAAAGCAGGCCTAAGCAATGTGGCATGAACGTCGACTCCAGGCGGCCTTCAACACTTCAGTCATCCTCGTCTTTGGAGCGTGTAACTTTCCTACCTATCAGGTCTTCTTGACGCGCACACACAGAGTGCAGCTACTCTGGAATACCGAGGTGCCCTGCGCTGTCTCGTGGCCGTGGATGGAGTAGTGCTAGCGGACCACAGTGGTTTGTCGCCCTTCAGCGTGAGCGTGGCAAGTGCAGAGCGAGAGCGAGGCCCCCAGAAGCGTTGGAGAAGCGAGAACGATTCGAAACGCTACAGATACTTCTGGACTGAAGTCACTCCTTGCAAGGCTTCGCTCTGTGACGGTCCTTGTGGACAATCGATTTGACCGAGTAACTCATCCTGTTCACCAGCAGAAGTACGATTGGTACCAGGGAGGCCGGCTGAAGTGACAGACGCGTACAGATGAGCAGAACTTTGCAATTCATCATGTCCAGCCTAACGTCGCAAGGTGGGTTGCTGCGTGCTGTGCAGTTTCACAGCCTGGCGAGTCCACAACCAATATACCTGGCCGGGGTGGAAGTCTTCCCTCGGCTGCTTGCTCAAAGTTGATTTTCAGCCTGTGTACTGGGAAAGTGTCAACCCACAAGCAGCACTGGAATCAAAGTGGCCACCACCAAAGACCAAAGGGGTGTTCATCAACCCCTAGCACGAAGTGCATGGCAGGGGTGACGAGGTAGAAGGATGAGGCTTCAAGTGACGAGTCATGAGAGTCACAAGCACCCGGAGCTGCTGCCTCTCAGTCAGAGAATGCACCCTCGTAATCCCTCGTACACAAAGACACAACGCTTGTAGGATCCATAGTCGCAGCGTGCCTTTGCATCTGAGAAGTAGCACCAGGCATGTGTGACATTTGGGATTGCCAACAGATGATTTGGTGCGGTGCAAGCGCACTGAGCCTCACTAAGCTGCCCTTAACACCTCTTGAGGTCGCTAGAATACGTCGATGTGGACGTGCGCTTGTCCAGCACGCGTCCAACCACAGAAAGCCAGGGTCCTTCAGCGCTGCTGGTGCTAGGCACTTGAGCTCAGTGGAATATATCTGAGCTGAAGACTTCGCAGGTTTGGAGTACCGTTGGCAGTTTGACGATCCTCAAGAAGGCACGGCTTGCATGCTCAACTGGTTAGGGGCAGCAGCAACTTTGCAGAGAGGTTGCAACTGGTTCGGCTGGTCGACAATCTCTCCCGGATCTGAAGCCCACAACGTTTCGGTTCCGAATGCGCGACGCTGGTCACCTGAGAATCCGGAGCTGCATCGTTTAAAGGCCTAGATGCAAGATTTGAATTGAGCGGGGTTTGTTCTGCGTCAAAAGAATGATGTGAAATGCCTTGACGCTGTCGCCTTGAGTTGACTGGAAGTTACACGGGAACCACTCGAAGCCAGTTTGCGTATAAGTGGCGTACTGGTCAGAAAGCCCCAGCAAAGAAGCTCGCGATAGGGGCGTCTGATGCGTGGCTGGTTTACTTTTCTAGACGTGAGACGCCGTAAGTCAAAGATCGCGACATTCATTTCCTGTCGACGGCACTAGTTTTGCACCGCATGAATTGGAACCGCTTATCGTTTGTAGAGCCTGCGGTGCCAGACTTTTTTCCTGCATTGGCAGACTGGGCACGGCGCACATGAAATGTGATCAAGAAAAGCTGCTAGGCGTTCTCTACCTACTTGCAGATGCCTCCAACTCGCGGACCTAACATGAGGACTCCTGAGTTCTGTGGCAAGGCTTTAAACGTAAAGTGGACAGCAGTCCATCACAGAGACCAGAACACTCAGGTAGGAGTTCCTCCTAGCGCCTGCACCTGCTTTACAGCTGGAAATTTCAAGACTTCCTTGCAGGGGGGGGTTGGGGGGTTGGGCGTTGTGATGCCCATTGCCCCACCCTCACCCTGCATCAATCGTGATCAATGATTCAGAACCCATCCTAGGCGCAAGGCCAAGACTTGCAAGCGGAAATCCAAGGGGTTAGCATTGAACGGCTGCACCGCGCAAGTGTCAGTCGCGGAAATGTGAAGCATCATGCGGGTTAGTATCCCCTTCAAGTCGCAAACATACCAACACAACACAGAATCCTTTCATGGAAAGCTGTTTGTTGAAGGTTGCGCTGCTCTCCGCCGGCAAGATGCTGGACTGCGTTGAAGTCCGCTTTGGGCTGCGCCAAGTCGCCACATCGGGAAGAGATATTCTGCTCAATGGGCAGGCGATAAAGTCGTTTGGCTTCAGTTGATCTTCCCATGAGCTCTCGGTCTCATGCATGTGGCGCCGTGGCAAACAAGGCTGTTCGGCTTCAATCGCCACGACCTGGTTGCAAGCCCTGTCCTCTCGCATGAAGAGTTGGCGCGTGACGTGCAAATTCTCCGAGATGTTGGTGCCAATTTCGTTCGAGGAGCTGCCTGGCTGGAATCTGTCAATTGCTTTTTTCCGCCCTGGCCAAACATGAAAGGCTCGTAGCATCTTAAACCGATGAGACAAAAGCAGTCTCTACATGACGCCAGGCTCACTATGCCCAGGATCAAAGGTTCTTGGATCTTTGTGACGAGAATGGCTTGCTCGTTTGGGAAGAGGTCCTTGGCTGGCAGAACACTGCGCAGGATTCGGTGTGTCTGCTTGTCCCTAGAAGGCATCAATGGTACGTGCTGGAAATCGTGCTGCAGTGAAGTACAAAGAAGTTAGACTTTCAGGACTTCGCAGATGGCATTTTCATGATGCAAAGCATGAAGCTTGCAGATGAGATGGCAGCTGCATCCGTGAATCACCCGCTACTTGTTTCAATTGCATATAGACCGAGCCATGCCAGTTGCTGTTCTTGAAATTCAGCATGAGCTTTCAGATCTGTGATTTTCTTCGGCTTCTTCAATGAAGGCAGCCTATTGCAAGTGCAAGTTCAGAGTGGCACCACGGCTTTTGCAATGCCACTGCATCAAGAGACAATAGCTTTCAGGGCGGTCAGACGATCCTAGCCCTGCTACAGAAGCCGCGTACCGAGGCAACTGTTTGAGATTGCTTCAGCAGGCATTGTAATTGACTGCAAGCGTCTCATTCAGACAGCTGCAGGAATGGCCAACCGCCTTCGAGAAAGGTCACGGGGCTCGCGGCTGATCAGTTGGGGCTCCTACACCACATTGGGTGACAGGCCTGTGCTACGAAATGCGCATGCTTTGTGATCATGTGATCATAATAGGTAAACTAGGTCTAGGCACTGGCTGCGAAACTACCAGGAAAAAGCCAACAGAACTTCATGTAAGCATGTTGCCCAAACAGCAGAGGGGACACGTTCAATCCTGCTGGGCAGGTACCTCGACTTTGCAGATGTATGCTCATTTCACCACTACCCAGCGTGGTATCCAACGACAGCTCCTGGCAACCTTGAGGAGGTGAAGGGCATACCGCTGTTATGGGAGGCCTGGCTGGAGTGCAGTATTTCTAAATAGTTCTGTCTGGCACACGTGCGATCATCAGAAAGGAGCTGCTACTGTGGCACGTGCCGGAATGTGAGGCATATGCGCGCTTCGTGGAGGAAAAGTTTCCTGCCAAGCCGCTTCTCATCACAGAGGCACCCCTTTACTGCAAGCTCGGAATCGTTTTCCTTCGAGCACCATCTTCGGCAGGCTGGTGCGGGCGGCCTGTTCGGGCACCATGGGCCAAGCGAGGAGAAGTGGACAGAAGAGTTTCAGAGCTCTTCGGCAGAGTCCGGTGGTGGAATGCTTGGTATCTGTTGAACATCATGAGTAATGACCTGGCGGATGGGCTAAAGCATGCAGCTGCGGTTCCCCTCGTAAGGGAGGGCGCAGCCTATAAAAGAAGAAGAAGAAGCAGCCGCGCATGGATCTGGCATGAACTACGCAGCTATCCCTACATGTGATGTGCACAAGTGGATCCAGCAGAAGAAGCAGCTCAGGTCTTCTAATGCAGATGCACTATGTCTCCGTCTTCACGAATCCTAAGATTGCTGGTCTGGCTTTATGGCAGTTTGCCGACATTCCAATAGACCGCTTGGTATCAGATGATGAGCACCGCCCAAGAGGCTTGAACAACAAAGGCCAGAGAATGTCCTGGATGCGTTTCTTATGTTGAGCTTCTCTGCTTGGGACTTGAAATTTCAGAGATGTGAGCAGATTGTTGAGGCGTACTGAGCCTTAGCAGACTGCCGAAGCTTGCGGTCCAAGCACTGCGCTTGCTGCGAGTTCTGGCTGCACTGCATGCTACCGCCATGCAAAGTGGGCTTGATTCCCCGTACTTCATGCGTTCTTTGCTTGAAGTGATTGCACCGGGCTACTGAGGCAACAGCAAGCCAGCATATCTCGGTCTGATCTTGCCACCGCAGGCGCAGCGTGCACAGAAGTGCACTGAAGCTGCTGCACCTTGAAACATGCACCTGACATGTGAATTTGCGGTCAGGACGCTGACCGATTGACCGGCCTGTTCAAGGTGTAGATCCATAGCTGAGCCGTTCACTTGCTTGCGAAGTTGTGGTTTAAAAGAGGGGAACTGGTTCAGTCCGAGCCCAAGAGCGGGAGGGACGAAGCCCAACTGGTATGCTCGGCAGAGACTTTCTTGCTTGCGATCCATTTCTCAGCCACGTGAGGAGGGGCAGATTCATCGCATTTCATCTTGCTGCAAGAGCTCTCAAAGCAATTGGTTAGGAGTAAGCGTTCCTTGAGCCTGCTAGGGAGCTCAATGCGACATGAGCATGCCAGCACAGGGGACCAGTACTTCAACAACCTGCCTAGCTGGTAGCATTCCGCAGCTGAATTGGCGGCGGCCTGTGCCAAAAGGGCCACGGCATCGACCTTACTTGATGGAGCACTGTCTCAGGCCATCCTGGCCGTCAAAGCTACAGCTTGCCTGTAAGGACATGAAGCAATTGGAGAAATGCGAGTCATTCTTCTCCAGCAAGATGGCAGCGTGCCCCTTCGATGTCTTGCGCATGAGTGCACTTGACGCTGCTGAGATGCAGCTGCTTGAGCACCGAGCCATTTAAGCATGACATGGGTCTGATAGGTGGAAAGCCTAAGTGCTTTGCGATATTGATGATGGAAGCCGCAGCCTGGGATTCATGACCAGGTTCCTCAGCGAACCAGGCCATAAGTGCTTGGTCGAAGACGAGGCACCTCTGAGCGAAGCTGCCATGTGGGGACCGTAGAAATTCAATTCGGGGGCTTGCAGCGAGTGCTGTTCATACTGGTGGCAGTTTCAATGCAAGTAGTAGAAAAGGTTACTCGTAGCTGAAATCTTCAGGGGTCTCGTAAGCCTGGCTGTCAACGACTTGTCTTGGAGTCTTGGTTGGTACCCGTGCCATTTTGTGCCTTTCTGCTGAAGATGTCTCGGAATCACCAAAATCACGGGAGTGAGCGAAGTAGATCCGGTGAGGTGTCAGCTGGTCCAATCACCAACGAGCGCGTAAGTAAGGCCTCTAGCTTAGGTACTATTACTGCCACTTGTGCATCACCTACTTGTTTGAGCATCTTTGCTGCAAATTGTCCCCTCCCTACTTCACGTCTTATTTGTGTGATTTAAAGGACCTGGCAAAAACTCGACTTTATCAAATTCATCAGCTTTCCTCCCTTTCGCGTACTTCAGCATGTAGCCGATGCAAAGTTTTCTGATGGTGCTGCATTGCTGAAGTCGCGCATGCATGCTGGGAAGTGTCCGCAGGAGAACTTTGACCCTCGTTCTGCAGAGCGAGCGTTGGCAATGGAAAGCAGCTCCCCAAGTGCGAGCAGCTGCAGCATGCTACTGTAGAGTTAGTTCATCAGCTTTGTTCACTCGAGCTGGCAGCAACAAGTCGTCCCTCACGTTTGATTAGTGGTGTCCATGGAAAAGCAGGCGGCACTAACAGCCTGTAAGCACGCCCTCTTCCAACTGCCACAGCCTGCATGTGAAGGCCAAGCTTTTTGGCAAGACGACTACAAAACGCATCGCTCAGGCCGGCATCTTGAGACGTTCTAAGTTCTTGCATGTGGAGCTATTGAAGCAGCGCAAGCAATGAATACACGAACTCGTTGGAAACTGCAGGCTTGCGGATCTTCAGTCAGTAGCGCCTGGGAACATCGAGGAAGTTGAAGTAATCTTGGAATTGTACAATTAATGAACAATCGGTCATGAGGTCATGGAAACATAGTGGGGCAGCAATCATGACAGCAACACAATGGAATTTGAAGATGTATGATTCGTCCACACTCGTTTACTTTCTTCATTGCACATGCTTCGTTGCGAGTGTCCCACGTTTTCCCCTAGGTGTTTGCAATCGTGCTCTCTTCCCACTGCCTACACTTTCATCGGGTTTCTGAACAAGTCCAGGCTTCCACTTTCATGCTTTGGCAGACCCAGTGCAGCGTTGATGAAGCCTTTCCTCTTTTACGAATTCCTTCGGGTCCATGTCGCAGCCTCGCTTGACATCTCTTGTGCTAAAGCTTGAGATATGACTTCCATCATGCTCCCTCGGTTGGGGCATGGCTTTGTTTATTGAATACAGTGTCGCTGAATTATTGTAGCAGGGACCCTTCAAAGAGACCCATGCAGATGATGGGGCGTAAGATATGGACTACCTGGTTATATGTCGGGGGCGTGGAAGGGATTTTTTACGGGCTTATAAAGTAGAATGAAATTGGGGGTCCATTCTAGGGTCTAGGGGTCCCTCCCAGATTGAAAGGCTCTGGCGCAACTCCCGGCGAAGGTGCAGATGATGCACAATGGTAGCATTGCAAGGGTGCTTTCATCTGCACAGGCACAGGTCCTTCCAATTGGTCGTTTGCGCCGGGGCCGAGGGCTTGGCCTCTCACTGAAAGTGAAGTCCCCATAGTGCAGAATGGTTGAAAGTGCCCGCAGGTTGTTGCTGACCGGGTCTGCTCAAGTGCCACCAGGAATGGTAGGTTCCGCGGCGAAGGATCTTTAAATCTAGCTGCTAGCTCTCAAGTCATTGCTCGTCGCTCAACAAGAACATGCCTGCTCTTGCTGGGAATGGAACGGGAGGCTTGGCTGGCACGTTCAGCGCCCCTCTGGGCACAGGCACTCCTGCTCAAGCATAGCTTGGTCGTGATAACTGGCCGGCTGCTGACTGCTTTGTAACGGCTCCTGTGTCTGCAGATCTGCCGCCGCAGATTTAAGCTGACAATATGCAACTTGATGCAGGATCTGCCTTGGCCGGCAGCCTTCAAGCGCCTGTATCAGGCCAGGGTTCTCCAAATTATTCATTCATGCTGTGCCCAGCAGCCCTAAGTTGCCGAAGGTGCGTTGCACGGCAGCTTGCGAATACCCTTGAGTTTGATCCCGAGATGTCTGTGGAAGCTGCTGCTTGCATCGTTTCTATTAGAAGCCTGCAGCCAGGCCAGCAACTTGTAATCTCGAGTCCAGGAGCTGGAGGTCCGTTGCTTTCCAACACTGGCTTCGAGTCTAGCAGGATTCAGATTCAGATTGCTAGCAGCGCTCCTGCACTGAGTCCGAGAGATCGATACCGGATCGAAGGGAGAGGACAGGGGTTTGCTTGAATCTTTTGGAAAAGTCTCGAATGTCCAATGCCCTCCTCAGGAGGATATGCGTCGACACATTCAGAATTCCGTCAGAAGAATTGTCACCACCGCACAGGCCGGGAGCTGCCAAGACATGCTATGCCAACGGAAGCCCTTGTTTTTCATGCACAACTGTACTACGCTGAAGCTGGGTATATAGAGAAAGGAGGCTAGAGACAGGAAGGTGGGCCTCGGGATTCACATCATTAGTTATCATTAGTCATTAGTGGACGGTGCAGAAGCTGACGCACTTCTCAGACTGAGCAACACTGGCCCTCCTGCAAATTGGCATATGATTTTGCACAGACAAGGATTTTGGCGACATACTTACACTCCCGGAACGAAAGTGGAAGCGCATAGAGTGCATGGATGATCATGTTCGAGGTGAATTCTGCCCAAGGAGAGCTGCAGCCTCAGCAAGGGTCAGTTGCCGAATGATCGGCTGTTCTGCGAATCACTCGCTGAAACTGACACAGATTGACGTTGACCCTGGCCTTTGGGCGTTTGCTGCACAGGACATGTTACACTAGCAAAGCAGCAGGGATGTCAGTGGGCTGGCAGCACAGATCCGCAGACTTGTTGAGCGCGTTTTGCATTGATGATGGTGCTCATTTGGGAAATCTAAAGAGCAGGATTAAGCCTCCTTGGAGCAATGCCGCGCTTCGATCCTTCGCGGTCCAGATCTGGACCGCGGTCGCGGCGCCGTTCGGACTCTCGGCGTAGATCTCCGTCCCGCCGCCGCTCACCTTCGCGCCGGCGGGACTCGCGGAAGCGCTCGCCTCCTAGACGCCGCAGCCCCTCCAAGAGACGCGTTTCACCGCGGTCCCCGAGACGGCGATCTCCTTCTCCGAAGAAGGAGAACGGGCAACGAAGAGTGGGCTCACCTGCACCTTGGCCTCCATGGTGGAAGTGTTCCAACATGTTGTCAGACATTCCCACCATAGACTTGCATCGAGATTCTTCCATTCCAAGGATGATAAAGAAGCAGCAGAGGGAGCAGAAGGAGAGGCCTGCTTGGATGTCGCCATTTTATTTTAACACTCAGTTTGCACTTGTGCTTGCGCGCATCTAATAGTATGTAGGTATGTATGATAACACAGCTTGAATGCGTTGCTAGCAAGCGATGCCTGCCATCACCTGTTGCTATCTGTTGCTCACTCTGAACGCGCAGATTGCGCGGGCTGACACCTTCCAAAGTTGCAAGCACTTGGAAAGGAGTATGCGGTGTTGCATGTAGCCTCGAGAGCACCTATCCTTCGCAGTGTCAAGTGCCATTTTTGGAGGAACCCATGCTGAATCTGTAGCTTCGCAAGCTTCGAAAGGGCTTCCCTTGCCTCATTGACCGCTCTTCCGAAATCTTGCACACGTGGACTTGGGAGGTGAACAAGGCCACTGTCGTCGAGAGTAAGGCGCGCCAAAGCACTGGCGAGCGGACTTGGCGCGCAGAGATCCAAGTTCCAAAGTCCGGGGCTGTGCACAATCATGATGGACTCTTGGATCAAGGCACGTTCGCCCCATACTGTGCGATAGCGGGGCTTTTCATAAGTGTGCCCACATGAAGCAGAGAACAGCCATTTGACACTCAGGAAAGACACGCACCATGTGCATTCGAGGGCCACTCCGCGTGGATAGGGACCGCTTGATGTATGATTTGGCTTGCAGCAGTGTAGGGTGTTCAAAGCTGTTGGATGCGCTGAAGGACCAAGCCTATCGTGACGCCGACGAGTTGCAGAAGTGCGCACAGGATAATCCAGGAGACACTTCCAAGGTCAAAGCTATGGCGCGGGACATGCTGAACAGCGCCTCGAACCAACATGAGAAGCTCTTAAATCCGTGGTTAGTGAATCCTTTGCAGCACAACAGAATGTGACCTGCTGCTTCCCAGGCAAGACTCATTGAACGTGAGCCGTGGACGGCAACATGTTC